AATAATAATAATAATAATAATAATAATAATAATAGTAATAATAGTAATAATAGTAATAGTAATAGTAATAGTAATAGTAATAGTAATAGTAATAGTAATATCATCATTTCAAAATGTCCCAATTGAAACAGATGAGGCTATCTGAACTAAACAATTCTCCCCCGCACGTACACACACACACACCATATTTTCTCTTTCTCATTTATTCTCTTCAAATGACATTTCAACAACTATTGAAAAATTCATAGTTCACACAAGTACCCCCTTTTCTCATCTGAGTGTTTTTAAATTGTTTTCTTATCTTTGAACATTTCTGCCCAGATATTACAAAGGAACTAACTCGGCAGTTTATATGCCACATTTGAATTGATTATTTGCTAACATAAGAAGTATGGCTTAGAATCTAAGCCATAGATGACATGCAGAAGCATGTGGCAGTAATGCTGGAGCTTATAATAACTGCCAAAATTAGCTACGGAATACTGGTCACATATCTTAATGTTAAAGCATGTTTACCAAGTGTGGTTGGAAAATTATAAAATTGCTTTTAAAGTAAGGCTCAGACAGACCAAGTATTCAAATAGGCTACTTTATCACACTCTGTGGAAATAAATAAAATGTTTGTGGTATTCAGCAAGCACTAACTTTCCCATTTCTTTTTTAAAAGATAATGGGGAAGGACAGAAAAAAAGAACAAAGATTTAATAAAATCATGATTATAATATTGGTCCTCTCCTCCTCCTGGACAGTTTAGATTTAGATTAGGTGAGGCTAGGGACAAATCTTAATCAACAAACCACAGGCCACTGATTTCCCCCCCTTGTGTGTAATTTTTCATTTAGAGGGGCTGACTAAATTATTTCAGCCCACTTCTCTCTCTCTATGTAAGAAACCAAAATGTCATTTATATTTGTTTATTATTATTTTAAATAAAACATAAATGTGGACCACTAGGCTTGACATCATTGGCTAAAATTTTATTGGTGTAAATTTATGCCATGCAAACTAGATTACATAATCGTCCAGTGATGGACATTTTTAATTTAATTTAATAAAAAACTTCCTATCCCCCCCCCTCCTGGTACTGAATACCTTTTGCCTTTGGGAGCCTTGGGTGGGATGGAGGAGTCTTTAATGTCAGATAATTGCAACCAATGGTTTTGTTGCTGAATTAGGATCACTGCTAGCTTTTCAGTGCCATTTTCCAATATCAAATCCCCCTCTCCAAGTCCTGATGGCCCCAGAGGAACAAAAAATAAGGATTCCTAGAGAGCCTTAGAATCTGATGGGAGGGGGCAGGAAATATTTAATTTATGATACCTATTGCCACATAATGATATCATGTAGCTTGTGTGGCATAAATTAATGCCAACAGGATTTCAGACAGTGGTTTGGTTAAATATGTATAACAAAATATTTTTTTCTCTCTCTCTAGTATCACCAGTGACCGGTACAATGGAGAGCTTGCTCAGTTCCTTAAATGTGCAAGAGAGAGAGGCAGACACATTACTCTATCTAAGCAAAAACAAACAAAAACAAACTAAGTATTCTGCTACTCTTAATAAAATTTATTTCTGTGTGAGCTTCTGTTGATGTTATTCTGGTGTTTCTGAAGAAGTGAATTATAGTTTATGAATGTGTACACTGAAATAAATTTGTTAAAGGTGCCACAGTACTTTTATTAGTGTTGTGTGTCTGTTTTTATTTGAGGGACTCACTAACACATCCCAGTAAAATTTGTGACACATCAAAGTCATTAATTCCTGGGCCAGAGGCTTTCTCCCTAATAAGGAGTTTTACTACAGCTGAATAGGCTGACTTGAGGTATTTCACCTCTTTGCAGATGAGGCAGGGATGTAGTTTAAACAGGAACACAAGGTTTCAGTAGTAATGAATAGACATTCTACATGTCCTTTGGTGAACTCTCCTCTCTTACTAGCTTACATAGTGCATTATATGTTTGTTTCAGGTATTTTGAAAATAATCCTTGATTTGTTTTGATCCCTTTCCCTTCTTCAAATAAATTGAAATAAATGAGCATCAAACAAAAGGCAAAATACTCCTGGCCTATATGAATATGAAACTTGTGAACTTAGCTTTGTCATAACATGTGAACCAACTGAGATGCGAAACCACAGCTGTTGCACCCCTCCCATAGGAGCTTACTGAACATCCATGTTTTATAGCTGAGCTGTGGCTAGGCAAAACAGATTCCTACTGGGCATGCACCATCACATACTCACTACTGAGACTCTTTGAGGTACTATTGGTCTCTTTTTCCGCCTCCTTCACTAGCCTGGTTTTATTTCTCTCAGCATGTGGTGGTGGTGGGTACCATGGACTACAGAAGGAGAAAATGTTACCAGGTCCCCTGAAGTTCCGCGCCCAAATTTATAAAATACAGAATAAAAATACATTTGACTGCCTACTGTTGATAGGTGTTACATCACATGTGAACTGTTATTGAAGAGAGTTGCTCTCAATTAAGAAAATATTGACTTGAGGTGCTAATAATTCTTTGTTTTAATAACCAATGTTATTCTCTATTTGCTATAATTTTAGCGAAAAGAGTTGCACTAAAAACAATTGAGCTAGCTGCTTTTTTTGAACTGTAAGGATATTGACTCCAAAATTTATACTGTATGATTTGTTTGTTTGTCTAGGAAAGTCAGTCAACAAACGGTATTTCTCGAAATAGTCCAAACCAGCCTCAAGTGAGAGATGGAAACGTGGGATACCCAAAGCTTCGTGCTGGTTACATCCCTATTCCGGTCATTCATGAAGGTGCAGAGAACCGGCAGCAGCCCTCATATTATTCTGGCTATCAGCCTGGCATGCAGCGGGTCAAGGCAGAAACCATTCCTTCCACAGCACGAGCCCCATCACCTCTAAGAGGAAATTTTGCCCGTTCACAGTCTCCAGCTAGAGGACCTCCAGAAATTGCCCAGACAGATAAACAGTGTGGACAGACAACAGCAGCTGCACCAGGCCGTGTTTCTCCTTCTCATGGATCTGAGGTAAGCTGACAGAATTGTTGTGGTATGTTTTATGCTGGAATTCTTCAATGACTTAAGATCTAAATAATAGTGTGTAACTAAAGTTCAAAAGCATGCAAATGCAAGTAGATAAATAGGTACCGGTACGGTGGGAAAGTAATGGCGTTCCATGTCTAGTTGCGCTGGCCACGTGACCACGGAAACTGTCTTTGGACAAATGCTGGCTCTACGGCTTGGAGACGGGGATGAGCACCGCCCCCTAGAGTCGGACATGACTGGACTAAATGTCAAGAGGAACCTTTACCTTTACTAAATTACATTGGCCTCATAACTAGCTATTTCTTTAGTATCCTCATAATATTGTTGGTTATATATAGGTATTTCATATGCAGTTTGTAAATGTGTTCAGATCCAGGCAACTGTGCTGCCTGGCGAGTTCTGGGATTTGTACCTCAAAAACATAAATCTGCAGATCTCTATTCTGAGATAATAGTCAGAAGATAGTATCTTCACTCTTCAAACATCTTCCATGTAAAACAGATTGCGCAGTTTGTTTTCTGTAAAACAAGAATGCGGGGCAGAGTTGCTTTTTCAAAATACTTTTTGGTTTGAAAGAGAAATATTTCAGATTTCTGTAGATCTCGGAGCATAGTTGCGCCTGCCTTTTAATACTTGTGCCTTGGATTGGCTATTTGTTGAAAAGGATGATGATCCCAAGTTGTATTTCCCAGGAGACTAAATTGCCTTAGGGTGTAAACATCTGAATGATTCTGCAACCTATAGAATGAAGCAACAGGTTTGCTTCTTTCACCAAAGTAGATCTAACAAGGCAGATTCATATCAATAAAGGCACAGCTGATGCTGGTACCCTATTTTTCAGTAGAGGAGAACTCAAATACAATTGTAAAGGTGATGTTTGTATGTTATTTCTCTTTGCAGCTATGGAACATAAACTTTCCTTCATCATCATAACTATGTCCTTCATAAATTGAATCTATTCGTAAATAGATTTTTCTATACAGCTGCCTATGATTACAGATCCTTGATTTCAGATTGTTCATACTGTTGTTGGGTGTTTTTTTGTTACATTTCACTAACTTCAGAGCAAGAGCTTTTGAGTTTTTACTGTTTAAATCATTTTTAATTGCTAAATATAGGAAGAATGGAGCAACAGGACTAAAGTTGATACTATGCCAGCATTTCCTCTGAGGAAGTGCAAGTCAGTCTATACACTGCAGGTTAGTTGTGGGTTGGTTGTGTCTTTAGCCAGCAGGAAGTAGAAAGAATGTGAGATTATTTTGACTGAAAATGAAAGCAAGAATGAATAAACACTTTTAGAAATTTAGGTGTGTTTTTCACATCCCAGCTTCAAAATGCTTTTTAATATGATCCTCGTAGTCCCTAAGAAAGTCTTGTGCTAGGGACCTACAAAAATAATCATAAGGATGCCTTTGAAGACACTAGTGTTGATAATGGGCTTCTACGGTACATCCAGAATTGAGCTTTGTCTAAGAGCTTGCTAGTCCGTTAGTTACTCTCTGTGTGTCAGGTGGTTTACACTGTGTGTTTCTTTAAAGCACTGCAGTGTGCTGAATCAGAATTCTTAGCAGTTCTTGTTATTAAATTATATTTTACTGACCGTGGTTTATGAGCTGTACTCTGTATCTGATCTGCCCTGTATCAACAGATCTCAGGGTGGGGCACACTTAGTGAAATACATTGAACTAATATAAACAACTATGTAAGATATTTAAAATACTTGAATGTAATTGTTAAATTAAGCTGAATTAAGTGAGACATCTATAGCTAATTAGTTTAAAATAGTAACAGAAACTGATAAAACAAAATAAGTAGCAGTCTCCTTGATTTTCAGTAAGGACTTAGAAGGAACGTTCTTAAAATTAAAACATACTGCAAAATTCATTTTCTTCAACCTGTTGTGAAGTAAATGTCCTTGCAGTTTTTAACCCCCAAGTAGAATTTACTAGTTTAATCAATGTGTCATCTATAATATTTGTGCATGGTTACTGCCAGAGCAGCATCATTGCTAGGACTCAGCAGAAGAGAGTAATCAGCAGCCACTGTTCAAATACTTGGGCCTGCAGAAGCAGATTGTTGACATATGATTTGTGCAACTGGCATGCAGCAGGCACTTTGCCAATGAGCTGGATCAGTTTCTGTGATTTGCTATTATTCGTGTTGATAATTCGCAGTAAAGTACCTGCCCTGAATTACCGTACTTTTGGGAAGTTAGACCTATAGCAAACACAATAATGGACATTAATAGTTTTCTTTGCCCCCTGCAGCAGTCTCCATCTCCTACACCTTCTGAATCACCAACAGTGTCTCCTCAGTCATCAGGCAGATCCAACTCAGGAAGCCATCAGCTCCCTCGTGGATATATTCCTATCCCTGTGATCCATGAAGGAAATGTACCAAAGCAGCCACCGCGGGTCTATCATCAGGCACAGAAGACACATTATCCAGCCCAGCAGAGTGAATACCAAGCTCACCAACCAGTGTACCATAAAATCCAAGTTGATGATCAGGAACAGAAGCCACAACGTGCACAGTCCCCATTCAGAGTGTCACAGAGAGGCTCAGCAAGTCGTGAAAGCTCACCGGGCAGAGTCCAGTCTCCAACTCCCATCAGAATACAGTCAGCCAAACCTCAGGTGGGTGTAGCGATGCTCTTTAATTTCCATTAGCAATTAGTTGACTGTATTAGTCATGCGTACTTTGAAAGAATATCATTGAAAACTACAATCTGTTAATTGACATGAATTCCTGGTTAATAATTTTGCAGACTGGAAATTACACCTCCAGCTCTACCATAGGCACCATAAGAATCTTCATTTTATTCTTTTCTGCACACTTTGCTTTTGTGGTTCAAGACATTTTTGGAGTCCTTCCTGGAAATAGGAAAGCCATTAAGCAATTGCAGTGAAATAATCTTGTGCAGTTTTCCACTTCAAATGTGGCCTATTTGGGTGGATCACTATTTAAAATAATGTTATGAGTGTGTAAAGATTGCTGTAGACTGCGTAGCTGTAGATTAAGAATCAGGGAAATGTCTCATATTAGATGTGAGGAGTTCAGTTTTACAATTTTTACTCAAAGCTGAAATCCCTTTACTTGTTTTCTTGTTTTACATTCACCCCTAATCAAGCCGGTTGATCTTTTCAGGCTTCTCAACAACAAATGCCAGCCCAAGGATCAGCACCAACTCCACCACCTGACGCTAAGTTTGAAACCAAGATAGGCCCATCTAGAACAGAGATCCCTGCACCATATGTTCCCATTCAAGTCATTCGCACAGATACAGATACTAAGCCGCCTCCACAGAAACCGCCTCCTACAGCAGAAGATATTGATAAAAAGATACCTTGCCCTGCTAAAGCTGCTCCGGCAGAAGAGAGATCTCTTCCACAAGAAACTGAGCTACAGAAGACTGCTGAGGTGGAAGAGCCTCAGAAACATCCAGGCATCTTGCAAGTTGAAGCTATTCTAAACAGAGTACAGGCATTGGAGCAGGCTGTTGATTCCTTTAAAGGCAAGAAAAATGACAAAAAATATCTAATGATAGAAGAATATTTGACCAAAGAGCTGTTAGCCTTGGACTCTGTAGACCCTGAAGGTCGTCCAGATGTTAGACAGGTCAGGAGAGACGGTGTAAGAAAAGTCCAGAATATATTGGAAAGACTTGAACAGAAAGCAGAAGATGTTCCAGAGCATATTCAAGGGGATGAACCTCAGCCTCCTTTGCCTGAGAATAATCCACTTCCAGAGCTAAAAATAGAGGTTGATCCTAAAGGGGAAAGCATTAATAAGGGTATAAGTGATGAGAATAACAAGGAGCAAATCAAAACGGAAACAAATCAGCCTGGATCTGAGGAGGTAGCAGTCACCGACCTTGCCAAAGAAACCAGCATATCTGAAAATGCAAGTGAACCATAACCACAGGAAAAGAATTAAAGTCCTTGGACACTTCAAGTTACAGTGTGTGTTAAGTGAATTTTAACTTGCATGCATTCAGGAGCTTTGCACCAGTTGGTTTTTAATCAATGTAACAGCTTGGGACACTGTAAACACTCAGGTGAGGCAGATGTGAGGTCAGAAAGAAAATACATTTAGTCTATATTCTGTATATTACTCAGAGGAAGTGTTCAAAGAATATCATTTAAAATGGTTGCTTTCAAGCAAACCCTTTGCAGAGAAAGGTCTTGGGTCAAGTAGATTGATTTATGTAAAATCATTACCTAACTATATCAGAATAAAAGTTTTTAAAGACACTTTTAAGGGGAAAATGGTTCCACTGTTAGGCACTTTAAAGTAACAATGCCTGGAAAGTGTGTTAAGAAAAGATAGGGATATTTATATGTGTTGCAAACTTTAGTGCTATATTTTAAATGGGGAAAAAATAAAACAGTACTGTAGAAACATGATGGATCAGTGTTGTTTATAAATTTGAAAGCTGGCTATATTTGTATTTATTTCTAATAACATTTCTATCCCAGCTTAGGAAGTTTTTCTTCACACATACTTTCCAGTTAGCCCACAGTTTGTCAAGTGCACATGTAATCTATCTTGGCCAATCACAGTAGATAGTGTGAGGTACAGAATACTCACAGTTGGTGAGTGGATGTTCATTTTCTATTTTATTTGGAGTAGATAAGTGAACAATTGTTTCAGCTGCCTGTCCAAATTTAAGTACACAAGTCAGTGCAAATGAAGATAAAACTGTTTACGAAAAGTCTTCAACGTTGGAATCTGCTGAAATTCAGCTTTATGTGAGATGGTTACAAACTGTAATTCATGAGAACTGAAGGAATTCAGACCTTCTGAGTTCACAGAATTGTTTTGCTAAAGGCTTCTTTGGACAAACTTTTATATAACTCTTTATACTCTTCTCAGCCTCTTAGTTTCTTTATCAGAATAAGGGCTAAGAAATCATGAGAGGTTTATATAGTTTTTTTTTAAAAATAAATCCTGGTAACTTTCATCTGTGATCTTAAGTCCAAGCTAGCTAGTACAGTAGAAACACAGACTTGCCAATCTTGTATTTCACACATTACGTTAGGTGAGATCCACGCAGACCATTATTATCTACTCCATGTTCTGCATGTCTCACACATACCGTATATTTCCATGTATAAGGCTATAATTTTGTCTAAAATCTTTAGACTAAAAATTGAGGGTCATCTTATACACGGAGGTAAGCTGAAAACAAAAACAAGTGGAGGGGAAAGCAGGGATCAAAACCATCCTGCGCGTTTTGATGCTTTTCCCCCTACACTTGATAAGCCCCACTTAGATTTCTTAATTTTGAATTAGAAAAGTGTGGGGAGCATCTTATACACGGGGGCGTCTTATACAGGGAAAAACATGGTACAGTATTCTTCACCTCTGCAAAGCCATTCAAAAGCAGTATAAACTTGACTGGAGGAAAAAGCAGTGAGGAGCCATTTTGGAAATGAAACATTATCACAAGAATGGTTCAGCCAATCTGTCTTCTAGGTTTCCCTCCTACAGGGTTCCCTTTGTTATACATTCATGTAACCTTAGGAAATTATGGGTTTGGTACAAATCCAAAGCAAAATCTAGACTTGCATATCAGTATTTAGGAAGGAGTCTTAGGATTGGATAAATAAGCACTCTGCAAGGGTGCTGCTGTTACCGATCTATATAAACCCTTTCAAGAGAAAAATGCATGATAGCAGCCTTTGGCTTATCAATGTCAGAAGGAGTGAAAGTAGACGATTTAGAATATTCCTTGATTTCCAGTGTAGTAGGTTAATTATAATTGTTAAAGTCTAAGTAGACTCATCAGTCCACAGACTGAAAGCATTTAGTTTCACTTTGTGAATCAACAAGGTTGTATTCAGAACACTAACTACAGTTTTGTTGGCAATATAGCTATCATTCCAATGAAAATGCCTCTGCCTAGACATCACCAGCCGTATACCACTCATGCAAATTCCATTTTTGATGAGGCTATGCCGCTGACATCAGGCTACAAGAATACTTAAAAGAGGGAGCCATCAGTAGTGACTTCCTGTAGGCAAGATATAAACAGCATCTCTCCCACTTGCTTTCTCTCCTCTTTTTTCTTTTTCTTTTCTTTTCTTCTTTTTTAATGTCATTGAGAAAAAAATTGTCTCAGGTTATCCAAGGTGGTAACCAGATTCTTTCCAACTGTAACTGCACTGTAAGATATTTGTTAAAGTCATAATTATTGGCTTGCTCTCCAATTCTGGCTTAGGTTTTGATATAAGTTTAGATTGAATGAACCAACATCTCAGACTAACAGCATCTTATAATGACAAGCATTGTTTTAACTGATGGCCAAACCATTATTAACCACGGAATTGTATCCAGCTGTCTGTCTACTACTGGAAAGGAAATTACTGGTGGCATGTATTTCTACTCTGTCCTACAGCTTTTCCAGAACTGATTTGGATAGCACTTGGAAGTGGTACTGAGGAGGAAATAAGCAAAGGGGAGATCCTTTTGCATAAGTGGAATGGTGCTCATGTTATACTGGTTATTGCCCACTGTGAGTGTAGTGTAATTACAATGTTAATCACTAAATGCAAAGTGTGGCCTTCCAGGTGTCATTAGACCAGAACTCTTAACATTTAACATTTCTTGTCATTCGTTCTGCTTGCTAATGTTGAGGGTCATTACAATAACACCGAGGGGGCTGTGCCCTCCCTTGCATTAGAGGACAACAGATTTAATTACAGTGGTGCCTCGCATAGTGAGGTTAATCCGTTCCGGATTAACCCTCGCTATGTGAAAACCTCGCTAAACGGAACATAAAAACCCAGCGTTCCAGTGGGCCCTAAACTTACCATGCAGTGAAGTTTCCTCCATAGCGGCAGCCATTTTCGCGCCCTTGGTAAGCGAGGGGAGGGCGCGAAAACGCTGCGCGCGGCTATTTCGGGCGTCCGGCGGCCATTTTAGAACCACCGAACAGCTGATCTGCGGGCATCGCAAAGCGAAGATCGGTAAACAAAACACTTACCGATCGTCGCTATGCGAGTTTTGCCCATTGGAACGATTGGTATGCCTCCGCATTAGCGATCCCGAAAAGGGGATCGCTATGCGGATTCATCGTTGTACGGTGCGCTCATTAAGCGAGGCACCACTACATCTGAGTGGAGTCAAGAGTTTCCTAAGTCTATTCTGTTGCTGTTTTAAGAGAGACAGTGAAGCTCCTATAAATACTCTGTTTTCTCTAACTCTTCTGTGATAGTTATACCAATGCAGCCTCACAAAATATGGCATGCTTACAATGAAAATGCTTCAGTATACTGTATTTATTTAAGGATTTTTAAGGCCACTCACTGTTGGGCTCATATTAAAAGTTATCTGCTCTTGGCATGTTACACTGTGGAGTACACTTACTCTCAGAATTTTTCTTCCTACATAGTTGCTAATTCTTGTATTAAAAAGAGTCCAAAAAATTACCATATTTATCTATCATATACTAGACACTAAATAAGGTATGCTATGTTAGATGTAAAAGATTATTTACTATACAGTCGTGCCCCGCTTAACAATTGCCTTGCTTAATGAGGAAATCGCTTTATGATGAGGTTTTTGCGATCGCAATTGTGATTGCAAAATGATGGTTTAAATGGGGGAATTTCGCTTAGCAATGATCGGTTCCCTGCTTCGAGAACCGATTTTTGCTTTACGATGATCAGCAAACAGCTGATCGTCGGGTTTTAAAATGGCTGCCGGCTGAAGAAAATGGCCCCCTGCTGTTTTCTAGGACGGATTCCTCGCTTTACAGGCACCGAAAATGGCCACCGTATGGAGGATCTTCGCTAGACGAGCAGGCATTCAGCCCATTGGAACATATTAACCGGGTTTTAATGCGTTTCAATGGGTTTTTAAATTTCGTTTGATGATGTTTTCGCTCTACAGCAATTTTGTTGTAATGAATTAACATCGTCAAGCGAGGCACCACTGTAATTAACTACTTGGACTTTCTGAAGTACTCTTTTTCTGACTAATTTTTTTGAAATTTTTAAAAAAGAGTCTGAGAAATGTAAAACACAAATAGTACTAAAAACCTAATCAAAGCAATAATGTAGAACAATCTATCTAAAATCACACACAGTAGTTGGTTACAGAGGGAAGGCTTCGCACACAGTAGTTGGTTACAGAGGGAAGGCTTGCCTGAAGAGAAAAGTCTTTGCCTCTTTAGCAGCTAGAATCAAGTTTGAGCTATTTAAAAGTCCCACTAAGGTTTTGTTCTTGTTGTTTGTTTTGTTTTTTCAAGATTGGGCTTCTAGGGTTTCAGCCACTTTTGTGATGTTGGCATTTTCCCCCATTCTTTCCCCTGGCCCCCTTCCCCATCACAGGTTACATTTTGAATGTGCTCTGCCAGAGGCTGATGATTAAAATTTTGTCTGTGAAAACTGGATTGTTTTTCTTCCTTGGTCTCGAAACACTCTTCTTGGTGTATATCTGAAATGCCATTTATGTTGCTTGATAGGAGCAATGTGAAGTATATAGGGCTTTCAGCCATACTCTATTTACTTCTAGTGAGTACTGGAGATGGTAAAAAAGAAGAATGCCAAACTCCAAAATGCCTGCCAAATGTTTGCAAGAAAGAAAAAAAAAACATGTATTCTTTCTTGTACTTAGGAAAAGCATGTTCTATGCTCCCATCAACCATGACCTTGAAATGTTAGTTATTTAAAGACTGTACAGTCTAATTAAGTCTAGTTTTGATATCTTCATAAACTTAGCTCTTATGTGATGCTTTTTGTGTATAGCCTCAATTCTTACTTCAGGTTCATTGCTTTTCTGTCTTTTCAATCATGTTATTTAACTTTCTGTTTCCGGTTACCATCGTGCTCTTTTTAATACTGCATATGTTCCATAAGAAACATGGCTGTGTAAGGAGCACTACGGCATAGAAGAAGCAGAGCACAGGCAATATCCCTGAAAAACTGACATTCAAGAAAGGACCCATTGGGTGTTTGGTTTCCAAAATTGATACACTGAGGTTATGGTTTTATTCATCTCTGCAATAATTAACATTCAAGGTAAATAACCAGGAAAAATACATTCTCTGTTCATGGTGATCACTCAGCTTCAGAAGTTACATATTGCTGTGCCCTCCGTGAAGGTGAGTGGATGAAGTGCATGTTGCCCTTTTCATGCTAATGACCATTCTCTGCCTTATGTATCTCAGGGGTAGCAGCACTCCATACCCTGGGAGCTACCATGCTGCCATTTTAGTTTTGTCCCAGAGGAGAGGTCCCCAACCTTTTTGGGACCGTGGACCAGTTGCGGTGTGTGGTGGCTGTGTGCGCGGGGTGTGTGTGTTGCGACACGCCCACCATGCACGCGTGTGTGGGGGCGGAGATCCATCTCCGCGGCCCAGTTCCACGAAGCCCACTGTCCCATAGTATCCGACAGGGTCATTCTCTGACAATGGAGAAAGTAAAATGTTGGCT